GGGATAGCGAAGGCTTTCGAGGAGGAGGAGGAAGAATGAGAGGCACCGACTACGGCCGCACCCGAGCCATGGAAGCAACCTCATGCAGGCGGAGATGGAGGCCCTGGGTCTCGAAGAGGTTGGCCACCATGCCGGCCGACTTGTTGACGAGGCGAGCGGCGATGCCGTAGTAGTCACAGCCAAGTTCTGCAGTACTTTGTACAGCCAAATTGAGCTCAGCATCGGTCCATTCGGGATTCTAAAACAGACGGAAACGACAAATCACAATAGATGGCGCCCAGGCACAAGAAAACAGGTCAAGGACACTGACGTCCAGTGCATCATTGACAATAGACGGCGCGAAAAACAATCATATATCGTGGTTGTTTTTTTGCAAGTGGACTTATTGGGGACCTTAAATCTAAGTCCTTTTTTCTTGTTCCGAGAGAGCAATCCATAGCACTAATGAGAAACGTTTTGTAAATGACCTTGGGCAACGACTGTGCGACCTACTGCAACAGAAAGTATACCTGCCTACTTACTTCGAAAAAGTAGGAATGTTTTTTTCTCTTCGGACTATTTCGGTGGGCGCCCTCAACATGTTGCCGTGCAATTGTGTTCTCTTACCGCATCTAATATAAGGGTAGTGTGTTCCTAAAGGACCTAACCGTCAGTTGGGATTAATGCGTCAGTACGTTTTATATGGTTTAATTGGTCACAGCATCTTTTCGGTCTCTGACCTTCCAAAACCTGCCAGTGGCGGTATAGTCCACTGACCTGGGTTAGCTGACGCCAACAATGTTACTTTTTTGAACATCTGCCCACCCCACCTCAAGGTACAAATTCAGCTTAGTTAAAAGATAACAGCGGAAATGCAAACCATCTTTAACTATTAATGTGTTACCGCAGTCTACTGCACGTCACGCTGTCCCACCAACAAAACCCCTATAACCACAATTCCCATGGGGACAGTTCAACAGTCGATTTCGATCATGCCTACCGTATTTTCTACAATAAGAGGATGTAGGGACGGTGACTTGCACGTGAAATAGTTTATAGTGATAGTAAACCTGCGCGGCATCTACCGCATTCTCTCTCCTCCCCCACCCACCTGAGCCCGGTGTCAAGACAGAGACAAAAAATACCGGGAGGGGGATCGGCTGTAGTGGCTGACAGGACATACACACACCAGGATTAACACAACAGGAGCCGTCACCGTCTGACTCCCAGTCCACTCATCAGCCACCAAACACACTGAGCTGGTTTCTGGTAAATGCGTCAACTGGCTGCCACGGTAGACTTGCATAGCCTCAGACTCGCATCACCTATTTAGTGCAGGAGCTGGTTAAAATTACTCCAAGAGACGTTACAGAGGAACCTACTTGCCTACTAAGTACTCATCAGTGGCGAAAATTGGTGAGTACGGTAACGCAATAATGAAAACTCTGTCACCGGTCAAGATATTCTGGCCCCAAATAGGAATAGCCGCCTTGAAGATTCAGTAATCTGTACTTCGAACACAGTTCCCCCATTGGCAGGTGTGTGGTGGCGTGACAACCACATACAATAAATACCACAAACATATCTGTGACTACATACTCCCTTCCCAATGGAAGGCTGCTGTTGATTGCCTAACTCCCTCCCCATGAGCAGTACTGTGTGCGTGTAAGTGAGGCGACTGGATCAAGGACCATAAGTCGGGCTCAATAGCTCCTTCCTGAGCGAAACGGGTATTTGCACCGTCTCCTCCTTGTGTAAAGACCACATTGCGCATGTGACATTGTGGCATTGCGCTCGAGTCTACCTCTGTTCGTTTTACCATCGGAGCCTAGAGGGTGAAGAATAAGCGAGTACAGTAGACACAATGCAAGTCTACCATAATTATGAACTAATTCGAGCGTTTTGGAAACAAAGTGGTCCCACGTTAGTTGCACTCGAAACTATATTGAAGATTGCCTCCCCCGCATCTGTGCTCTTTTAGTGCTTTCTGGCGCAGTCCCAAAAGCAATTATGCACATCGCTCAGTGGACAATGATAATAGTCACATAGAAATACCTACTAGCTATTAAGTAGTAAGCATTCTAAAGTAATATAAATGGACACAAGAGAGTCGCAGCGACGGGTTTACTGCCTTAACTCAGACCAATCATCGAGGACAGCCGCAGATATAAATAATTAAGGTCAAACGTGGGCAATATTCATAGGCCAAAACAAAGTTCGAGTCAGAAACTGGCAAGTAAATCTAATGCATTCATTGGAAGTCTAAAGAAATAGATCGGTGTAAGAAAGTATAGAACGGAACTTACCAAGTCCAGAGGCGGGGGACGTAGTGACACAAGGTCCCTCAATAGGTTGTTCTCACTCTTTGACAAAGTCTATAGACGGAAAACACCAGAAAAAGGAAATTGCATAAGGCTAGCCTTGAAGAAATAAAAGAATCTGGAATAAGAGAAAGGAGGGTTCGAAAAGCCCATAGCAATCGATTAGAGGTTAGTAACATCCCAATCAGCAGTTACGTGGCAAAACTACGTCAGTTGGCTCGCACGAAACATGAACAGTATACATTCGTTTACGAGCCATGGACCTCATGGTTGAGTAGTGCGGCAGTGTGTGCTCCAAAACCTGCCTAACACTGTGAAGGGTCATTTAGAGGAATTTTGCGGGCCAACGTAAAGAACGCTAAAATTCTCAAGTAAGCTTGAGCAGACAGATTGGAATTGAGGTTCGCCAAATTGCAGTAAGATATAAGTTAAAAGTACTTAAGCATAATATGTACGTTAATCATGGTTGGGGGAACATATTCTTTCCGTAATGCCTTGGGTCTCCTTCTCGAACCCCAACAGCCGCACAGCAGCTAGTATCATAGGCGAAAGAACATCATCAACAAAGACAAGGGTGTTAGGACGGCCTAACGAACAGCCTTAGCAAGCAAGTAGCCGCGCCCACAGTAGGCCTGAGCTTCCGTTACAACAAAAGGGACCTAGAATGGCCATTTCTAACTTGTTAGCCTTCAACAGCCGGTCAGCCATACACAACCCCAAGTGGTTC